GGAGTTATTCTCACTATTATGAAAATATGTACAAGGTCCTGTGTGTTACCTTCAGACATTTTAAGGGAGTGATACTCAAGCGCTGGAATTCTCCTTTCATATGTCAAAACTGACAGGCATAAAATTTTCTTTCGCTTTCACATAGAAAATTTAGTGTTCCCCGATAAGGGTGAGAGTTCATGGAAATGTAGTTGGATGTACATTTTCAATACATGTAAAAATAGAGTTGTTTAATGCTTTGCTGAAATAACGAAGTCTATCACAACGGTTAGTCTATGATCCAATAGAAGCTCTTTTTCTTTCGAGATTTATGAAAAAAGAGAAGAAAACAGATTAAAATCATTTTTATTCGCAACTAAGATGTATAATATTAGAAAAAGCATTGGCATGCTCAGGTTTGTCTGCTGAATTTAGCGTCTACCGTATTGTTTGACTATGCGGAGTCCACCATATGGCCGATATATGCCTCCGTATGGGTTCCCTGTGTAAGGGCGATATAATCCTCCGCCTCTCGTGAAAAAGGGGTTCCCTATACGTTGTCGTTTCGCTCGACGATACCTAAATGTGTTTAAATGTAGCTTTGAAAAGCTTTCAAGCCAACTATTAAGGCTTACACATCTGTGCTATGGTCAAGTGCTTTCGATGGAAAAAATTGACCGAATAGCAACAATATGGCAAATACGAAAAAGGGACAGGAATTGAGAAGATTCATCCTTGGCCGTTCTTCTCAAACCACGTATTTATATGAATATGCTCTGAAAAGGTTTGGCAAAAGTATTAAGAAGTTCTTGTACATGTTGAGTAATTGCATTTACCCGTCTAGTTCTTCCCATAGATGTGTACTACTTGAGCACATCTGGAAAGGTTTTTTGCACTGACATATACAGATGAGAATTTTGAGAGGATTCCTTAGACCTTTGTTGAGCGCAAGTAAACACTGTACCATCAACACTATTTGTTGAGATACGCCTTTTGCAGAACAATCTCAGCTATATTTTTGAGAATTCTGGAATGAATTGGCAAAGTAAAGACAGAAGTGAACAAATGGTTGGAATCGATAAGCATGAGAAGTTGATTAAGAAAGTATTACTCATGATTGGATCTGCTTGTTCTGCAACTGGCGCTACCCTAATTTTCGTTTTATTTTCATTTTTCATTATTACCTCTCTTTATCCTGTATTTTGCATTTGTGTTTTTTTTTGAGTATGAACTTTCGAAAAAATTGTGCACTGCTTCGTGTTACCCAAAAGTAGAGCTAGTCTTTGTCATTTATGATTTGAGCTTCGTATACTTCAGCAGGATGAATTCTACTTGCGAATCTCACAGAAAAGTAAAAACGCGTTATGTTGAATTAATGTTTAATCTCCCATGTAAACATAGAGAGATTCCTTTTGTGAGGTTTTGTAAAAAAAAACTGTTGTGCGCTATAATTTTGGTACTTCTAAACTGGTATCTATTAGAAACGTCACGGCGCGTCTAAATGGCATAATAAGATAAGATAAAAACGTGTTCTTAGAGTTTCTGGAGACTCTGATGTTATGGAAATTATGCAGCCACAGCAGAACAACAAAAATGTATAACAATTCAATAATCATACCCACGTTGATAGGAAGACTCCATCTTTATCATGCAAATTTCACATCCACAATTTTACACTTTTGAGTATATTTGAAGGGAAGTAATCTACAGAGTTTACTCTTTATTAGAATTCTAAATAGTTCCTGTAAAGGGCTTCTATGGTTGTCAAGAGTGCCACTTTACATTTGGATAGTGCTCAATTTGTTGTGTTTTTGGGCTAAGGCCAAGTTTTCACAAAATTATTACTGCATAGCATCTAACTGATACAAAAACAAGTCTTTCTTCAATCAGAAAAACGCAGTTCTTATTGTTCCTCCTATTCGTTATGCATTTTACCAAAGTCATTTTGATTCTTTCCATCCTGGCAGTTATTAGCGAATGCATTCCAGTCTTTAACTATGTAAATGACCCCAACATACCGTAAGTTCCTTTGATTACATACGAAATAGCTATTTATTTGGTTACTTGATGTCGATCTTCCAGAGTACAACGGACAAAACGTTGGTACTATCCAGGTGGCGGCTTCTTTCCTCTTGGTGGTGGCGGTGGTTTTCCTGGTGCCGGAGGTTTTGGTGGAACTGTTTGGGATGACTCGATCTCGT